CCTCAAAGTTACTACCTGAGATTTCTTCGTTTGTCTAAAATAAACCGCCAATGTCGCTAAAGCTCCCTTCTGTCTTCCTAGGCTTAATTCCGCGACGTCGAAGTGTCTAAGCACTGAAGCTCTCACGAAGCCTACGATGAAATGAAAAACGACTAAAAAAAGAAATGTCAGGAGAATGCGATCAGTTATTTCGGCCAACATTTGCTGGCTATTTCTGACATTCAGCTCAACTCCTCGATTTTTAGAAAACGGGAGAAAATTAATACTTCTTTCTTAACACTGATTGTGAGATTTAACGAAAAGCTACCCTGCAACGAGCATTGTCCTGGCGTGATCATCGGCGTGGTTAAAAAGGTGCCTAATCTCTGTAAAGGTCACATGCTGAATACGTGGTTTATCTTAAAGGAGGATTTTACGATTAGAATGGAGGTCGAGGAAGAAGTAATTCACCTAGTTGAGTAACCCACGGACCTCCTGAGGGTGCGAACTGATGCGCAATTCGCATCGAAAAATTTGACCTCGGCGACCTATTATGCCTCAAAGTTGGCGGGTCTGGCGATCTCCGCCCACCGACCAGCTGATCACTCGCCGCAGATCTATACGTGGGATTGATTAGATAGCAGAGAGAGCGTGATGTTGAGGAGGGCACAGCGATGAGAGTCGCATCAATGCTCAAATCAACGGGCAAGGAAGGGTCCCATTTCTCGGGTTCTGGGCCGTTTCTCATGGTTCTTCCTTCTTTCGTGTACCACTCACCATCCCTAAGTTAATTTGAAATGGGTTGCCTTTCCAGCGTGAATTCGTCCTTTAAGGATGATGTACGTGTTTCGCATAGATGCACCCCAGGCACATTTAATACCCAAACACATGGTGCTCGTTGGCGGATCCATATCGAATGGAAGTCGAATATGGTTGTTGTTTAAGTCGAGCCTGGTTGATAGAAATGCAGCAAGCTCTTGCAATAAAGATCCACAAATCCGCCATTATTGCTATCTAAATCGTCGTTCGAAAGGATATGGAAATGGCTGGCACGTTTTCGGAACTATCTATTTTTAACAAGATTCATCAACGTGCTCAAAGGAGTTGTAGTGAGTTGACAGCGCTACTACGAATAGGCTAAGACGTTCAATAGGTTTGGAGCAAAGACTGACTTCCGTCTGCAACGTCACTTCTGAGACATGTGGCTCGTAATTCCGTGAGAGAAATCAACAAGGATACGTTGCTAGCGATGGTTACCGGGTGACTCGATCCCTTCTTTGGACCATTGAGGGGGGAGGGACTTGCTGTATTAGAGAGCACGGGATCCAATTTTTGAAGAGACCACACACTTCTTGTCATGACTGCTTCGACACATGGAGAGCGCTGCTCAGTAAGCAACACTTTTCCTGTACCAATTTGGTAGTGAGTGTCTCGCTTTTCTAGCATCAGCGGCTCCATTAGCCTCCGAACCTGCAAAATTTTTTGCGTGATTGTGAATAGATCATCAATGAAGATGTGGAAACATTTCACTGTGGAGAATGCCGCGTAGTTTCCATGGATATACTCAAAATTAGCTTCAAAAGATACCGGACAAAGACAGCCATGAATCAAGAATAGCGCTCCCAGCGGGATCATTCCGAATCGTGAGAGTAAGTGTATAGCTCCCAATGAATGGACAGAGTTGTTTAGGTCCTAATACCGCCGTATACAAGACCGCATAACATAGTGACATTCTCCTGCCACATTATCTTCATCGCCCTGGACATTTATTTGGCATCTACTCAGGTGTATTGCTAATCTTAGCTCACAGAACAGAAGCAAGCGCAAGGTGCCACAAATTACGGTAGCAAAAGCGTACCGCACACAATTATTCATTTCGAAGTTTTTTGAAAATTAGAATTAAAAACCTCAACACACATTTCAAAATTGAACAGATGGAGTTCCGAATGTAGCTTCAGCGTATGTTCTACTAAAATGATGTTCATTCTTCCACTCAAGAATTAGCGGGATTGTTCAAACTTTAGCTTTTTATGAAGTCATCTTCTTCGCTTGTTTCGTCAGCATGTCGGGCGGTGCTGCGGTGTTGTGAAGCGAATCAGGACCCCCAAAATGCTTGCAACAACCACCGTTATGAAGATCAATCGACTAGGTGCTAGGACCATTGGTCTGGACGTAGGAGAGAAGCTTCTGTTGTTACCAAGAAAATATTGAAAAAGTTCGGTCGAAGCTGCGATAGACCCTAGCATATTCAACCCGTCGTTTTTCTCCCGTGCTAGCGATCAGGAGCACTTCTTGGCTGGTAATCGCCAAAAGACATCCCGTGGTGACGAAAGGTAAGCGTGGAAAAGCTAAGCTCTCCAATGGGACGGGTGAACTGAAAAAGAGGACGTGAACGGATATTCACAGGCGAACAGTGAATTTGTCCTGAATAGGAAGAGCGTTAAAACTGCATTTCGAACAAGTGAAAGCCCAATATCTCAAGCATCGTCGCATCCGTAAACAGTGAAGGCTTTGGCAATTGCGAGTCACGGGCAAAAATTTGAAGACACCTTTTGATTTCTGATTTTCACGAGACAACGTAGAAATAAGATTTATAGCGAAGTTTCCATGCTCGAATATTATGATGCGAAGGGAAGCCTTAGAAATAATCGCAACTTCATTGTACATTTCTGCATTTCACGTCGAAATCTGCGCACTTCTGGTTAGCTGAACAGCTGTAAGAAATCACTGTGCAACTGACCACGCTAATCATACTACCCAAACTAACATAGTTTGCGCTTTACCTAACGTGTGGAAGATAGAGAGCGCTGCTGCTAACATCATGGAGAGTCAATGGTTTCAAAAGACCGCTTCATAATGCCTGAAACGGACTCGAGGCCGTCTGTCGTGACTTGCGCACGACCTCGAGCAAAGATGCTCCAAGGCCATGCGCGGGAGGATGCCGCAGCGCAGCGCAGTCAGACTGAGCGTCGACTGTGATAGGCACAGACCCCTGGCTGTCTGTTGCCATTCAAATCGCCCGCGCAACTGCCACGTCAGTCGGCATGATGCAATCGCCTGAGCGGTTGCTCCGTCTCGTCTCGCCTCGCGTTCGCTTCGCTTCGGCCACTCAGAAGGTCGGTTCGTCTTTGCTTTATTACATCTTAGGCTTGAGCGGACCTCGGCTATTGGCCCTAAATCATAACGCCTTGTTTACTTTAATGGTGAAAATAATAGTATTTATTCAACTTTATAGTATTACATGGAAAGCCAGAATTTCCCCATTGCAATCTCAATGTAGTCATTTCTCAATCGTAGTTTAGGTATTCACACCGGGAGTTCATCTTATTTGTGTAGGTCATTTAAATAGGCGCAAATTCCGGGATTAGACTTGGGCGTTTTCTGTCTGTATATGACTTTTCGGATGTTTATTGGGATTGATATAGAAGAAATGAGGAAGAAAAACCGCGTAAAACACTCAAAAAAGGATTCCCTTCTTCTTTGACGGCTTACAAGCCACTAGTAGATGAGCGACGTCTTCGGACGAGTTGTCCGTAAAACTGGCCCAATGCCAACTGTGCTATTTCCCGGACATCAATCGATGCCGCCAGAAAAGCAGCTGACTGTTGCCGACTTGCTTGTCTTCCTCTCTTTCTTTCTCGCTTCTTTTGTTTTTTTTTTTACTTTCTTGATAATTGCATGAGTAGATGGTAATTACTTTCAATTATTCACACGGGGGGGGGGGGGGAATCTTTTTTTTTTTTTTTTCTGGCGATTTTGTGAGAGTGATCATGTTTTAGTAGAAATCTTCCAGTGGCAGAACTTTGCCAAAAATTGAAATTACATAACTCTTGGGTTTTGTTCGTAGAGGAAGTTTCATTTAGCCAAACTCAAGTCAGTAGGGTTGGCTAATTGCCGCCTTTCACTAACAAGTAAGTTGTGAAATGATCATGGATTTTTACGAAAAAAAAAAACGTTACTCAGTTGCGGCAAGCAATTACCACGGCCACTTTATAGCACCCACGTCTGCAATGGAACCATCGAAAATTTGCTTGCCTGGATTTTGAATTCAATTGCCCGAATTCCCCTATTTCGGCCGGTCACAGCTCCTACAAGCGAATCGTTGTAGCGCTGACCATAACAGGCACATCACAATGGGCCTACAGGGACTAGCAGTACCTGAACTTCTTGTGCTGGACCTTTTGTGAGTCATCTTGTATGTGCTAGCCACCCTGATGCCATCTTTTCACTTTCCATCCCTGGACGACACACTTGATTAGGGGCTTTTTCGTCTAAGTAATCCGCTCCTCCGCTACTTTCTAGGCTTTCGTAAATTTGTTTAATATTTTTATTCTGACAGATGAGGATGAATAGTTTATTCAAGAGAAGAGAAGAACACATGAGGATGAATAGTTTATTCAAGAGAAGTGAGATGTATGTAGAACCCGCATCACGTCTGAAATCGTAAGTACCCGATCGAAGCACCTGAAACTGCACACGAGAAAAAACAGAATTAACGAACCACACAGTATATACAATGCAAAACATAAAAAACATGTCCATAAAAATGATCTCTCTCTTCTCCTCATCATTATGAGCTCTTTTGCCTTTTTTCTGCTCTGTTTCTTTCTTTTCTTGGCCCTCATCTTGTGATATTTTATTAACTTTTGGAGAATTTCCGATCTCTGGCATGCTTAAAATGACAACAGATATACAAAAATTTGAATTACACTAGCTAAATATTCATGACAACGAAAACTAAAGATGCATCGACAAAATCTGGTTACAATTTAAAAGTTGAAATCAATAACACTCAGTTTTACAACGACCACTAAGACCACAACCTACAACCAATGATAGTGGTTTTTATAACAGATCGAAGAAAAATCGCATCACCACCGCGAAATAAGGGATTCTGGATACAAAAGACCGTCACAGCAGAGCGTCCTTGCTTGCTTACCTCGTAGAATATCCGAACATTGATAGAAGACTTAATCCTTTTTACTTCGTCATCCGACTAAAAAATACATTCACTTCTTTGTGGAATTAGAGTAGTCGTAGCGCGCAGTACTCCACTACAGCGACACATCTGACGGGGCTCACCATACTGCGCAGGAAAAATCTTCCAAAGAAATAAGCGTATAGTTGCAGCATACCTCACTCTGTAGTATGCTGGCTAGCATCTTGTCTGCACTTAATGGCGAATTTTCACCAGAGCCTCCAGAGCGCCGATGCCATGTCACATCCAGCATCGCTCCTTTGAACAATCCCCCATCCATGACGGCCTGTAGTATTGCATGAGCTCAGCAATATTTCCCAAAATTATTAATTAACAAATTACGTACCTGGTCCGCATCTTCCCTGCTACGGAACGTCAAAAGCACCATAGGATCCTTCCCTCTGACTGCTTCAACATTTAGAAAGTCACAAAAAAAAAATAGATAGAAACAGCGAACATTTGAAAATATGAGAAGAAAAATCAAGGGACACTGAATGAGTAAGCGGGCCATGGGCAGGATGCTATCCTCCCCGAAGGGTTTGGGGACGAAAATTCCTTTAAATTTTCTCTGTCTTCCCAACTGGGATTGTCCCGATAAAGGGCCTACATTCAATGTATGTATGTAGGTCAAAGTAAACATGCACTGAAAATGAAGAAACTATATCGTAAAAAACAAATAAATTCAGAGGGATTTTCGTCCCTAACCCTTTGGGGGAGTATTTAATCCGACCCCAGGTGTCGAACTTTTATCATGAAAGAAAACTTAATACGTAATACCTCTCTCAGAGACCCACTTTCCTACTTTTGCTTCAAAGAAGAATGGTTCTAAGTAACAATACACTCTAGCATATCCTTTTCTATCTATAAAACCCTCCAAACATTCGTCAACCCAAAAACACTATTAAACAATAACTACGTAATCGGAGGTAGAAATAATTTCGAGGCGTAAACAAAAGGAATTAGCAAGACTGCGAAGAAAGAAAAAAGAAATAAGGGAAGAGAAAAAGATCCTTCTCGACTGGTACAAAAAAGACTTACTGCCCAATCTTCGTCTCTGTATTCTCTGCATCAGGGCATCCTTTCACAAAATCCCACATGTAAGAAAGTTTCTCTCGTAACACAATCACATGTTTGAGGACCCGTATTTTTTCAACACCAACCTGAAATTGCGCACGATGATTGCTCAATTTCAAGCGCCCTTACAACAATTGCACAATACAGACTTAACGCATTGTGGAGGCTACAACGTTTCGTGAACTGGCAGCAACTCAAAGAATTTCTAATAAAATTGTAAGGTCATCATCGACAAACGGACTCACTGATAACCAGTTCGCTTTTTGTTAGAAATCGATAAAGAAGGAATAAGGGAATGAATAGATGATCGAAAAAAAAAGATTAAAATGCAACTAAGCTGTCCCTGAAACTTAATTCGATGTCGGTGAATCAATGCTATGCGGTAAACCGTAACTTAAAATTCCACGTATGCAATATTCTAGCGGGAATTATTGATTTTGAACCTTGGTGACAGCATTGACAGAAAACTTTCCCGAAATAATCACAGTATCTGAAACAGAGCACTCAAAAACGAAGGAACTGCTGGGAAACTCGTCACCGAAAATCGTTCACTCACTTGACCCGTTTTATATATTCATTCTCCACCCGGATTCCGCACCCAAAACACCGATAATTCTGAGCTTTAAGCAGAACCGTTACGCTGGAAAACATGCTGTAAAGAATGTCATTCTGACTCAATTCATAGATTTATAAAAGCATAATGGCAAGCTGTATACACAGTTGGGTGCCTAAGCTGCAAATGGCATTACAAAAATTCCAATCGCACCTCTCAGATTTCCAAAGCGTATAAATCCATGATTCTCTCGGAGGAGTCCAGTCAGATTCTACACTAGATCGAGAAGAATCCCCCTGGCACGTTTCCTCACTGGTGCTCTGTGAGGTACTGGGCAACGACAGAAGCTGGAATTCATAAAAAAAAAGTAATAACATTCATTCGGAAATCTGCTGTAACTGAGTATTTCGGAGCCATTCCTCGAATTTAATTATGTGCTGGACAAAAACTGAAGAAAAAACAGAACAGTAGACACTAGTGAAGTAGCAACTCACCCTGTCCGTGTTTCGAACAAGCTCATCCATCCACTGAGAGACTCGCTCATCACGTAAAGTTTCTCTATTCGTAAAACTAAATTTAAAACTTCATGAGAGAATCTTAAAAATTATGTGGCATCTGATATCAAACAAAAGCTTGACTGAGAAGAAAAATTCCCACCTCTCCAGTGCTGCAGAGGCCACTTCACTCCACGTTGGTTCAGGTTTCCTGGAAGGCGAACCTGTTACCGTATTGTGCGCAATCCGCAAAGCAAAGCAACGCATGAAAGAGACTCACCATGACAACAGTTGGCTTCATTAAAATTAAATCCACACTAGATATGAGTTGAAACAAATGCCGTGGGCTTGTCCACATAGTGCACAATCTTGTCATCAACAACGACACGAAAACTGCTACACGGAGACCGTACTGCGGACAACGTCAAGAATTGGCCACCGACTTATAAGTGATCGAGAGAAACGAAGATCAAATATCGAGGAATAGAAGAACCACCACACAATTTCATCAGAATTCCAGTCGCAATTTTCACCCTGTGTATTCTGAAAAAAAAAACATTATGTACAAATGAGGGGATGGAGTGACGCTAATTAGGATCAATGATGAAAGCGAACAGAAAGGAATCAAGCAGACTACAACTAAAAAGAGACCAAACGCCAAGAATCCCATCTGATTCAATATGGACTATTGATTGATCGCTTTTCGCCCTACGACACTCCAAGCTACGTGTTCGGCGTTCTCTGTGGGACCAGTTTCCCCCGTGTCGCTGTGATGGTGGGAGGAGCGTGTCGCAGTAGGAGGAGCGTGTCAAAGTCCTTGGCGTCTAGCGCCTTAGTGACGCATTTCGATGCGGGGAACGTGGCGAGTCGCCTGCAGTTGCGTCCCATGCACTTCTAGCCACTTAAGGGCTTATTAGGTGGGTCTGAGCCCGAACTTTGCCTTTAATTGGTTGCTAGCTCGTCCATTATCGGAGGTCAACGGGCAAAGAAAGGGGTCCCATTTTGCGCCTTCTTGACGGATTTCTTTGCTTTTTTCGCCACTGGGGCATTATTCAGCATCCCCGTTTCCACTATGAACCCAACCAATGTTATCGTAATCCCTCGCTTCAAGTGAGCATTGGGGCAGTACTTTCCCTAAGCTTATTTTATTCTGAGCGTTTAATGACACTGCGTGGACAAAGCGATTAAAAGGGTAAAGAGTTCAATCCATTTCTATGATGCGCCACCCATTCTACTCTTAGTTCTGATTCGTAACTGCTTTTTGAATACGATTTTTGAATGGCGTACAAGATGACAGATGGCGGCCAGGCGATACCCCGAAGCGCGGCGTAGTAAGCCGCGCCATCTGCCAATACACCACCCGTTGCCCTATAACACCATGACATTAAAAATAATTCCAGAAAAAACCCTTTCAAAAGTTTTTTTGTTTTGCAGGTTCTCAGTTTTATTGGCCCACTGACGACCCCGTGGCCTGCCAGCAGACCACACTTTCGCGTGAAATGGCGTCGCTCTTTCTGATTTATTTGGAGCTCCTCAGAAGTCCTTCACAAACATAGTCGGATTCAAGAAACTAAAATTCATTTCCAGAGGTGAAACCTGAGATAAATTGATGTCCACTGGTGAAAAACTATTGAAAAGATGCCGCTATGCACTTACAACGGCGGTCGTCAATGGGCTTCAATTTTCAAGTGCTCCGACACTCATAAGCATTTGATGGACTTTCATGAATAGGTCTCGCTCATCAACTGCTTTAGGAGCCCACAGGGTTCAAATTCATAATGGGGATGATTTTGAGGTCACAGCCAAGGTCTTAGGCCAAGAATCAGAAACATCTGCACGAAAAACCCTCGAGGCATTTTGGATTCAAGTCAGCAGTCCTAAAATGAATCAGAGGGAAGAAGGCCTCATGATAACGAGGGAGTTAAGACCTTATATAAGATTGGCCTTCCAGTAGTGACTTTCATTTGGAAAGAGTCCGCATTGAAGCCGGTGCTGCTGCTGGCTCGTGGCTGATTTGAAGATTCGGACTAGATTACGGTGAGTTGTCTACCTCGTGGCTCCCTGATGTTTTGTTAGATCTAGAACTTCTGTAGGGCAGCGGCGACGTTTGATCGGGTTCTCATAAATTGGCTAGACTTTTTGCAGGCTCTGACGAAGGCGAACCCGCCGAAACGTTAGCCGATAAAGCACTTTTATCAACCTCGTGTAGTGTTCAATAGGAGAATACTGGAAGACTTTTATGAAGTACGCACAGAAAAACAATCGCCCGTAAATGTTGATGTGGTGACGAACTCGAGGAGTATCCCATAATTTTGCTGGCGCTTCATATTTGAATGGAAAAATAATGAGCGTTCCGATCTATTAACGTCAGGGGTAGCAATGATCACCCATGAGACGAACTCTATAAAGGATGACCTATTTTTAACTGAGTAGTCGAGTGATTTATTGGTACTTTCATAAAAATGGAGCACCGAAATAGCTTTGCAGTGCCATCATCTTTGATGCTATATTTACAATCGCGAAGCTATGCAGTAAAGGGATATAAAGCGGGTTCCATGCAGAAAAGGAAGCGTGAAGGGGGAGATCAGTGAGGGGAGGGGCGGTACCTCAGGACGATGTGAAAAGAGTGCGAAATAGGGGCACAAAGGGGCTGAATATATCTCTGACAGACCATAAGAAGTATTAATTAAGAGGGAATAAGGTGACACAATGGGATGTAAGAAAGTACCGAAACAATCGCAGATGGCCAAGAGAGCGCATTAAAAGTGCAGGACGTTTCAATTCCCCAGAGGCAGAAAGGAGTAGGCGAGATAGTGAAAGCCCGAATGACCGATATGAATTACATAGAAGCTACCAGTGGAAAACGGACCTCTGCGATTTCAATAAACCTCAATGAGGATAGCAGTGAAATCTGTGCAATTGTACTGCGGCAGCGGCTGGCCCACACTTGAGATCTGAGCCTCGCATGGTTGGGGATGCTATATCTCAAAAATGCTTTGAAAGCACATGCCCTTCTAAAAATCCATGCAAAAAGCTCACTCTTTTAGGTAACGATGGCTGAAAGGAAGCAATTTCGAATACCAAATTGTAGTCAATGAAAAGGTTATTAAGATTTATGGACAACGGCAAAGCGCGTTGTGCTGTAGCCAAGCTCGTAATGGGTTCCTGGCTGTGGTGATAAGGGCCCGTGAAGAGCCCGGTTCACGTCATTTGTATCGAACACTTCTATTGTAACCTAGCTCCTCGGAAGCCTTTAAAGAAGATAAA